TTTGGTCGCAGTACCGCCACCTTCTGCTCCGGAGTGTAAACGCTTCGACTATGAGAAAAAGGAGCAGTGCATGAACCGAACGAAACACACGTGAACCGAACCGAGACAGTCGAATCGAGCGGTTCGGACGGTTTGCAAAAACCGTTCCATCCCTAATATATATACACATTTGCATACATATATACAAACATACAGTATATATATGCTGTTTATATAGATATACATATATACACACACACATATACATACATTTTCCTCTTCTTTTTGACTACTGAGCCAATGTGACAAGTGAATTTCTCCACTGTCAGATCAATAGAGTCTAGCTTAGCTTAGATAGCAAGAGCATTTTGCAGTCTGTTTTTTACCACACAAAAGGTATAATTATGTGTACAGTTTGCAAAAATGCACATTAAAGATTGTACAAATGTTTTATCAACATGTTGAAATCCGGTTGCTAACACATATGTGTATGTGAGAAGTAGGAAGAAAGCAGCTGAAATAATAACCATAAAATGTTTATAACCCTCAAAGCTGATTTTATAAAGTATAACAAAAAAATATTTCTGTCATTTTTTCAATCCAAACCACCTAAAGGATGCTGCATTGAATGTCAAATAAACAAAATAATCACGATCAACCGTGATCATTTTGTCAATTTGAATCTATCTTGGATTGTTCTTTGCTCTGTTTTGTTTTGCAAGGCTCCCTATGCCCTTTGTCAAAATTCCATAAGAGCAATTTTCTACCACAAACTAACACGAAGAGCCTGCTGAAATAGTTATCTGTTGTTTTTGATTAAAGTCAGATTTTTAAGAAGATCTGGTTTCTTTATGATTACAAAATCTAAAGGCTGTGGAAGAGTCAGGAAACTGTGCACAAAACTGTAACTCCTCTCATAAAGTCCCTGTTTGTTCTCACTTTAGGAGTTAATGAAATGTGGTAATAGTCAGGGTGTGAAGGAAATTGTAAACCGGAGGACCGACTGAGGGTGAAATGTTGCAAAAGGGAGAAAAAAAAAAGCTTAAAGAAAGATAAACGAATAAAGAATAGATGGATTTGGGGCGCCTTTGAAAGTGCAAAATACTGCTAAAACAAGCAGCCCAGTAATTTTTTCCTCTAAAAAGTTACACTTATCATGAACCGACACACTCATTTTAGATTAATTTCCAAGGAGTGGCTCTGTAATATTCACGCAACTTTAAAAAAGGTAAGCCTCTCTTCTGTCTTTGTGTGCCTTGCCGTATCCTCGGCCATGGTGAAATTACCACAAAACGCAGTGTTTAATGGAAACGACTCCCGCGGTCTCCTGTAGCGTGCTGATAGGCTGCTGGTGGGAGTGTGTCATCTGCATAAATCAATATTTATAAGAAGCAGCAGACAGTTGAGAGGTTGAGTCGCTCCTACTCCCTCCGAGTCACGCGGTGCCGTGCGGGGGGAAAAGCTGGAAGTTTGCAAAAGTGAGAGTCTGCAAAACTGAGTTTAATATAGTGAAACCATTAAGAGTAATAGCGACCGAGAAATAACAGCCCTCCCCCTCCCCAACTCAGGATGACACTGTGACCTGAAACTAGGATATATGCGAGGAGCTGAGAAAGAGCAACAGAAACTTTGTTGTGAGCATGCAAGCACACAGCACCTTGTGTGTGGCGTCCAGCTCATTATACAGGTCGCTGTGTTACCGAGCCAGATGTGCATCTTATGGCTTCACAGATAGCTTTCACAAACAAACACATTGTTCACTCCTCTCAACATCTGCTGCTATCATTAAAGAGTTAGCTTCCGCTTTAATCATAAGCCATTATCAGAGTAGTTACTTCGATATGCAGCACACATGCACGCACAGACGCCAACATACACACACAGAGAGGGATCCACTGATAGAGAGAGAGAAATGTTGGAGGCATCTGTTTCTCCTTCGCATTCGTGTCACCTCCAGATGAAATAAAGAGAAAGTTGGCTGTAGGAGCAGCTTTTTAACTAAATCATAATCCGACTGCAAAAGCGAGGGCGCTGATAGAGGGAGGCAGGGGCAAAGAAAAGCGGCAGTTAGCACTGCGCTGCTGTCGACTGCATCGCCAAATAAGCGGAGAAAATACAGCTCTCATAAAGCCCTGATGGTTGTGTTAAAGGGAGCAATCGGCGATTTGAGATCAAGTTAACAAGACACATGTGACAAGGAGGTGAACTGACACAGGAGTCTGTGGTTACAAGCATCTGTGTGTTTACTGGATGCCGGAGCAGGCTGGTATTGCATGTGCTGGAGCAAATAAATATCATTGCAAGGTCAAGTCTCCTTTGCAGTTCATGTTACACAAAAAGATGTGCAAACAGCATTTAAACTGTAAATACATATGGCATGTCACTAAATTAAATCATAATGAAAAAGTTAAATTAATCAAAAGTCCAAAAGTGAAACTAATCTATTATTAATAAAAAATCGAAAGTTAACTTTTTACAGAAATGTTATGCTATAGTGTCATTTTTTTTTTTTTTAAAAAGGCTTGGAGAAGGCATACTCAACTTGAGACATCAACTCCCTTTAGAAAGTGCATAAGCAACACAAGGTCACTAGACAAGCAAACTGTCCATGGATTTTCTATAAAGGAAAAGTAAAATATAAAAAGCTCCAGGAGGAGCAATTATCTGATCTTAAAGAATTTTAAAATAAAAAGCCTTTTCAAGAGATTGAAAAGGTGTGCAACCTGGTGTGGGTTCACTTATTCAAGAGTCTCCATACAGGGATTTATCTTGGAGATTGGCTGCAAAGGTCACACTCTATTTCAAAGAATTTCAGAATAGGGCCAGCAATTAATTGCAATTCCAACATAATCGCCATTTAAGAAAGTGGAATTTTCAAAACGTGGAGGCGCTCAGTTTCAGTAAATAATATGACAAGACATGAGAGTCATTTTTTTCTCACTCCAGCACTTTAAGTGCTGGTTATATGCTTAAAGTGGGGTTGCTTCAAGGAAAAATGAAAAAAAAAAAAAACTTCCAGCTAGCATTTGATCTATGCATGCTAGTAAAAGAAAGCAAAAGAAGTTACCGTCCTGCAAAAATGCACTTTGGAGAAGCAAGCTTTCAAGGTTATGAAAATATCTACGTTTGTAAAAGGAAAATCAAAATCAAATCGCAATAATGGTTGTAAATTATCGCAATTTTGATTTTTGACTAAATCCTTCAGCCCAGTGCTGATATTCATAAAAATTATCATAAAATGTTATTGAAGAATATTACAGAAAAATACTCAAAACAATAGAATAATCAAAGGACTGCACAAAGAGCTAAAGTGAACTGTATGAACTAAATTTCATTTGCGCCCTTCACTGAACAAGCATGGTTTACCAGAATCAGTGGTTAAAACAACTATACAGTTACAGCTTCTGATGTGTCACCTCTATGCCAGTCTATATGAAGGCAAGATAGAAAACAGCACATATTAGACTCAGGTCTGCCATGAGGTGGAAAGTGTTGGAACACGATTGTTTTGGTTTATAGTAAAATTAGTTTTAGACAAACAAGAGTTAGGGTGGTAAGTACACAGAGATGAGGAACAGTAGTAGGGGCATATATCAAATATGAACCCTTTGTTCTTTTTACATTATCATATTAAATGGTTTTTAGTTAGAAGCTCCATCTTTTTCCAGTTGTTTGTGTGTTCGTACCCCGCTCCAGTCATAGTTTCTGAGTTACTGACAGCCAAGCTGACCACTTCGGTGACATCTAATCTTCCGATGGCAGAGGGGCTCCGCTCCTTCTCATAATAACTCAGGAAGCCGCCCTCCAATGTACACCAGCGGCGTGCCATTTCTGAAAAACAAACACACAGATTTTCAATTCTGGCATCTCAGTATTTGCACTAGATGAGCAAAAAACTAATACTGAAAAGTTTTTAAAAAAATAAATAAAAATCTGGTAAAGGTATAGTGGAGGATGTTCTTTTTACAGGTGGATCATCTAAATAAGTGGTCCTCCTAATTGTCAATTATTCAGGTGATGTGTTTACTTAAGGCCGTCCTACGTGCTCGTCCCCATTTTCACTTACAGGTGGTGAGTCTGACATGGTGGAAAAACTGCAAATCTTCTTTTGGAAACTAAGCTTGTATGAGCGATGCAAACAGCAACTTTTAAACAGAAAGAGCAAGAGGAGAAATGGGCTCGTGCACACGTTTCATAGATGTTTCCTCACGGTAGTGGGTACAGACTCACTTTATGTCAGTCTGTAAAATGTCAGTCTTGTATATATCTTGTCCTGGCATGGTATACAGAGAAAACGTAATTTCATTTCCCTTGTATGTCTTGTGCATATGTAGAAAGTGACAATATAAGCTGAACCTGAACAGGGTTGTGCGTGAGCATTTTTTTTTTAAGGTGGAGAAGAAGGGTCTTCTCAAAAATGTGTGAAAATCCTCCACTATACCTTTAAAGTAAAAAAAAATAAAATAAATACAATTTTAATCAAATATACAAGCTTAGCATAATGTAAAGTTATTGGTGCTACAAAATTTTTTATTTATAGAATCTAAATCATTTATACCCTGACATTTATTTCTAAGTGCTCACCTATATTACATTATGCTCACTTTTAATCTACCATTATAAACACAAAGTCATTAAAAGTTTTGCTGATTCCCCTCCAAGGTCCTTATCTAGTTAGCTTGATAACCACCCAACAGGAAAATGTAATGGAAACAAACCATTGTTAAATGTTTTCAGAATAACATTTTTTTTGTATAATAAACTTTATCTGACCCATGTGATTTTACATGCAAAAATTATGTTTCAGCTCTTTTCTTCTTTAAGTTGTTTTAAATGAGTGTCCTTTCTGTGGTCCGTCTGAAAATATGCTCCGAGTTTTTTATGGAATAAACACAACCAAAGACAATTTTTAGCCTTTTAATGAGTATTTTTTTTTTTTTTTTGCCAGGGTTTTTACAAATGTTCTATTTATAAGCATTAATTGATGTCAGTTCCCTGGCTGTACAGTATATACCGCTAGCTTTATTTGATGGAGGGTTTTGTTTGTATTTATGTTCAGGTGGATCTAGTTAGTTTGGAAATTGGTGTTTGGTTTGGTTGATGTTAACTAGTCTGTTTTGTGTGTATTTGGTTGATTCATTTATTGTTGTTTGTCAAAATTGTCTGAAATAAATTCCTTTTCATTCATTCATTCATTCATTGGAGGAGTTTGACAAAACAAAAGAAACAAGCCAAAGACCTGACTTTAAAAATTTTTAATCAATAAAGCAAAGGTGGCCGTTGACTTGTCCCGCAGAGACAGACTGCTAGAAGGACCTCACATTGATGTTGTGACTCTGTGGAAGTGCAATGTTAAAGCCAGAACAAGGGTAGAATTTCACTTCCAAGGAGCTATACAGAACATGGAGAATTTTATGCAGTTAGGTGCTTTTAACTAAATGTGATGTAGAATGTCAGATGATGGAGTACTACAATATAACAAGCTACTCATTTAAGTAATTTTTAGCCCACATTTGTTTTTACATAAATAGAGATTTTTAACTAACACTTGTTTTACACGAATAATAGATTATACTTTTGATTTCTGTAAATAAATTGTTGTTTAAAGTCAAAAGTCTTTAATTTGTAATACAGTAGTAGCCATTCAAATAGCCTCCACTACTTACCCTACAATTCCTTTTTAAACTAAATCTTAGCACTAAAATGTTCTGTTATGATTTTTGGACATTAAGATCTAAGGAGAAGCATTATCTCCTGGTCAAACCCTGTAATTCAGTGAAAGGGATGCATACCCAGGAGAAGGCCAGTGGCTGGAATTTGGAGGGTTGCAGGGAAGTGGGCTGCCATTCAGCTGGTGTGGCTGGAAAGGGCCATTTTGAGCGGCTGCTACTGTACTAATGATGGCATCTTCTTTCCATCTAAAACTGACCCTTAAGTTCTTATGATTTGAGTAGATTTTTCATTTTTACAAAATACTGATGTAGAGACACTGTTTTCCTGCATTGTGGTCAGAATAAAAATAACCCACTATGACCTCTGACTCTTTGCAAGTTGGCAATGGAATATGGAATATAACATTTACATCTATCAGACTCTGTTTTATCTCCCAGCGATGAATGGGCCCTAAAATGGTATTTAGAGATGATCAGAGATCCTTACAGTGTAATGACCCTGAGTAAAAACACCAGCCAAACACCAAATAGGAAAGCATAATCTGACGTTACTGCTTTTCTTCAAAGAGAAAAACATTTTCTTCATAGTGGCTAAAATGATCACATATTAATAAATGCAGTTTTGAAAACTATTATTCTTTAAAACTGTACATATAGACAAAGCGATAAAGGCATAAATAAAAAATACATCTATGAAATTTCTGAAAGCTTTCACATGTTTATTGAGCTAAATATATTTTCTTGCCAATCTATTGATCAAGTAGAAACACAAGTTTGATAAACAGATATAAGCGGATTTATTAGCTTGGCTATCTACTGTAAAAATGTCCACAGCTGTATATTGATTATTTAATTTCCAGAAGCAACGAATTTATATTGTTAAAACACTGTACAGTACAGTATTTTATTTGTCTATTCTTTTTACTCTGTGACTTGTTCTGTTATTTTTATACACTTTTTAAAGGTCCACATTTGCGTGACAACTTTTGATAATACCTTTTGCTGCTGTAACACCACAATTTACCCACAGGGGGACAATAAAGGGATTTTTTTCTATTTTTATTTCTGCATATGTAAATTAGATTTTGTCATCATTTATTTATATAATTATAAATATTCATATTTATTTATAAATCATAGCAACTTTTCTTGCACAACAGTTAGCAACAACTTGAAATACTTTGTTGAATCTCCGCCACAGCATGAGAACAGGGGCAATATTTTAAGAAGACTGATCAGCAACAAATGCACCTTAACCACTAGACTCCAAAGAAGAGTAACAAGATAAAATTTTTGGTTAGTTAGACAAAAAGGGCAAATTTGGAGTCTGATAGATGATTGATTAAGATGAGAGTACATATTAGGGAATTTTGTAATGAGGAGGGATATTGGCACTTCCCTGGGAATGGTATTCTTTTAGCTAAAATCGTCAGTTGGACTGCTCAAAATAACTTCAACACAATATTCAAAATATTCTCATTATCAGTTCGTATGAAATCGTACGAAAAGTTATGCACACTATTTCGTACGTTTTGGACGTTTTTCCTCAAAAAACCTGATCAGTGCGCATGCGCTGGCAGACAGACAAAAAAAGCAGATCCACGGACGGACGGAAAACTGGGAAAAGCAGTGCAATCATCACTTATTCATGTCTCTAACTATGTTGCTTGCTGTTTTATATCTTAGGGTTAGGGTCAGGGTTAGGGCTAATTGTATTTTAAATTCTATGTTCTTGAATGGTGCGTAAGATGCGCATGCGCATACGATGAAAAAAACGTCCAAAACGTACCAAATTACGGTGCATAACTTTTCATACGATTTCATACGAACTCATAATGAGAATACACTGCAATATTTCTTATTCAAGATGACACTGCAGTGGCAAAATGTAGAGTTTTTCTTTTCTCTCATGTATCTGCATACTACTAGTGTAATTTCAACTTATCACAAGAGTGTGCAAAGTTCTACAACAAAGCATTTTTAATCTTGGTATATATAAGGTATATATATGAGGGAGGTGCAGTGCTACATTACGTGGTACTCTGTTCAGCTGCTCAATGAACTTACTCTGGCATCTCATGTAAAGAACTACAATCTATAGAAATTGTCTAGTATCCTACCTACTTTTACTCTATTAATTTGCAGATGTCTAGAATAGACATCTGCAAATAGACATCTGTTTAAATGATTTAATTGAATTTACCTGATAAAGCATTAATTCACCCTTGAGTGGTCTATCCCATTAGCAACAAAACCTAAACCACCTGAAAGTAAAGTAATCCGAAAAAACAACAATGTAAAATTCAAGATAAGACTGATTTAATGTTAAATAGTCCTGATTTATGGACAGCCCACTGAGGTTTGACACCTTCAAATCTGAAATTCTTTGAGTTATGATTCCAGACTTTGGGGTGTTTTAAACCATCTGTATGACTATAACTAAATTATCACAAGGATATAACAGTTATAACGTTTTAATAAAGATGTACATGGCATAAGGAATCCCAAGCAGACAAAAAAACAAATTGTAAGAAGGAACCAAGCAGAATAGAGTTTTCAAACTAAACATCATCTCACTCCAAAGGCTGAAAAACACAGACTATTGTGCTTTATAACGGTATAATTTACAGAGCCAATAAACATGAAGCTCATGAAAACACACCTAATTTTGGATATTCAAAGTCACTATGTCATCTGTTTTATTTTTTGCTAGTTCCGCTACAAACAGACGCATACAAACAGCTTCCCACCCCACAGCCCCCCTCCGTTCTCAACTCCAAAGTTTCCAGCGCATTTATCTCATGAATATGCTAATTGTGCGCTCATCTGCCAACTGTCTATTATGCTTCTGAAGGAACAGATATAGTTCCAATAAAAAAGGAAGTGTCGACAACTAGATGTAGAAAGAAAAAGGATGTGATAAATACGCAAAAGGAGGATGTCAGTTTTGCTCTATTCACCCTCACGCTGTAGCTCTTTACAGCCGTTTCTCACTTTATCTCCATCTTCGGTTTATAAGCAAAAGTTGTTTGGACACAGATTGAGAAAAAAAAGCTGCATAATATTCTTTTTTTTATTATTTTCCTCTCACTTGGCATTTAAAGAAAATACCCTCTTACTGACCCCACTTCACTTGAAGAAAAAGATAACTCTTTCAGC